AGTTTGCATAGTTAAAACACCTGGTTTAATAAACGAATTTGTTAATCACAAACACATAATAAGCTAGTATAGGGTACATGCTTGCATATTTTCTCACGTGCTGATTAGCCATTATACCTAACGAGTGATTTCCAATTTGGGGAAATAAAAGTCCAGAATCAGCAATTCTATACGTAGTTATATATCCTGTCCCCCAATAAGAAATTGTGTATAGTCATTAGAGTCTAGTTTCATTGCACTCAATATTCTTTTTTTCTGAAATAATGTTATAATTGTTGATAATAGCAACTTATCCTCTTGTAGGTATTTATAAATTTTCACAGTGTTTTTATTTATTATTATTATTATTTTTTTTACAACAGATAGATGCAGCAGGATTTGCCTTCCTGATTGTACTGAAGGGAAATTAGGAGGCTTATCTATAAAGAGGCTAAATGAGTTTGCTTGGGACACTCAGGGCACTTTGCAGGGGACTGCACTGATTTTTACTCGTAGGAATCTCCTTCTAGCAAAATAAATTGCATAGATGCTGGTATGTTCCTTTCTAGTCTTTATGTGCTCCTTCTTTGGAATCTTTATGTCGAACTCCCTAGACATATACTGGTTGTACAGATCAGAATGAAAATGATTAAAATAGAGATACAAGTTTTATAGAAGTGGCTTTCTTCACTCCATTATAATTGTTTTGGAGAACTCATATATTAAAGCACTTTGTTTGTTTGTTGGTTTTGAGACAGAGTCTCACTGTGATGCCCAGGCTGGAGTGCAATGGCATGATCTCAGCTTGCTGCAACCTCCACCTCCTGGGTTCAAGTGATTCTCCTGCTTTGGCCTCCCAAGTAACTGGGACTGCAGGCATGCGCCACCATGCCTGGCTAATTTTTGTATTTTTGGTAGAGACAGGGTTTCACCATATTGGCCAGGCTGGTCTCGAACTCATGACTTCAGGTGATCTGCCCACCTCAGCCTCCCAGAATGCTGGGATTACAGGTGTGAGCCACTGCACCCGGCTGATATTGAAGCATTTGTACCCACAAGACTAAACCAAATAATAACTTTTTGAGCCTTATAGAAATCTAAGTCAAGGGAGTAGTGATGAGAATCTTAAAAGCCCACAATTGTTCTTTTAAATACTGAAATTGCTATTCATAAGACTTGAGTGAACAGAGACAGGATAACTTAGGAATAGGAGGTGTTTTCAAATCCAGGGACCAGAATATTTATAATCATACTCACTGATTGTGAAACAGAGGGCAGACATACATTCACTTATACTTTCAGTGGGTTCGTTCCATAGCAAGCTTCAGTCCAACTGCAGAGTTTCACTATTCAGGGGAAATAGTGAAATTCCCTTCCTTCAATGCCTCCATTCACATTTGTGGCTGGTCAGTGAGATACAGTTATCAAATCACCTGTGGGAGAAGCCAGTCTATCCAGTCAACACTCTTCTCAGGAGCCCTGCAAGGAGCTTGTTTAAATAGGTGCCACTGGAATTGTGAACAGTATAGGGCTGGATAGCTCTGTGGATTGGAGACTTGTGCAGATGAGATCAAGTGCACCAGTTGGCTCCCTCTATGGGCTACCCAGTTCCACTGTGGCCTCAGTTGATCTGTAGCCTGCACCTTTGTCAGCTGCATCACAGATGTATTCATTCAGCCATTCAGCGTTTGCCAAATATGTATGGAGAGCCTACATACAAGGGGCTGTGGAAGTATGGCATGTGATTGCAACCTCCTGATGACAGAAATCTGACTTGTGTGCATTACTTTTAATGGCACTTGGCAAATTCAGTTATATGTGACCTTTCATCTCTTCTTGCCCTTTTGTGACTTTCTGATAGCTCTAAGCTCTTCCCCTCTTAATGTCAGTGTTCAATCCCTCCATGTTGACTGATCACCTGACTTTTCAGGCCTCTTACCTCAGCCTGTACTACTTAGTTGCTTCCCTAGTCCCAAATCTAAAAATAAGTGTGCTATATCCTTTTCTAGCTCTTTTTTTTCCCACTCTTGGCTTATTAAGAATAGCAATCCAATAAAAAATAATCATACCAACTTGTTGGAATCTAGTAGGGATCTAATACTCTAATTTAGGTTTAAGGCTACAATGCCTTAACTCATGGAAATGGATTTCTACTGATGAAAGTGTAGAGTGAGAAAATATTTGGTGGCACATAGGCATTCATAGATCCGTGTTATCATATCTCTGGTCCATTTTAATGGGAAAATTCCCTGAGATCTCTTGAAATATCTTCTGTTGTAACCTTACACTGCAAATACTAAGGGAAAAGAATAAATGGGAATAACGTTTAGAAATTACTTTCTCCATTATTGTATTTCTGTTCTCTGGCTATTGACTACCTTATAACTAAATACTCCCTCTCTGATACCTAAGGCAAGGGAACAGAAGAACAGAGACCATAAATCTATTAAGTCAAATACATATTGCTCACATGGCCTTTAAAGGGAAATGAATTATCAGTGTACTCTCCAGGTCTGCATGATAAAACTAATTGTAATGGCAATTAAATGTATTACACTGCCATTGAGCATGCTTGCTGTGACTCTGGAGCAGATACATTGATTACCTTCAGTACTTACCATGTCCCATCACTAATGGGCCAAAGCAGACTGTTAACATTGTAAAGGTGTAGGATTACGCAATAGATCACTTAGAAGAGATAACTAAAGAGATTTGGGAAGCAAATTGAAATAGCATTTCAATTTTTTTTCTATCAAGTAGGTAATGATAGAGTTTGATGCTATTTTGCAAAGCCAAATTTGTTAATTCAAAATATTTGCTGTGCATCTTAGGATTAGGGGAAAACAAAAACTGAAATATTAAACAGTTTTTAAAAATATTCCCATGGGGTTTATTTTGTTTCTATTAACCAACTTTTGAAAAACAAGCTATGAGAAAACATATATTTTCTAACAAATATTTATATCATTACCTCTCAGTTGTTTCAATGCATGCAAAGAGTATCACAGATAATTTATAAAAAGAATAATATAAAATCCATTTAAAGATGATAAAACAATAAATATTAAAGTTGTATTTGATCCAGAGGTATATCACTAGTAATTTATAATAACCCAGAAAGTTCAACAAATTCAAGTTTCCTTCTTTTCCTTCTTGAAAGTTTTGTGGTGACAAATGACAGGTAAACAATCCAATAGCAAGGACTGAATTAAAAAGACCCCTAAGAGACAGCCAGTGATCAGTACATATTTAGTCTAAACCACTGTACCTTCTTGGCTTTAACAGTGTACAACAATCATCAGAATCCATAGTGATGAATCTGATACCTCTGAATCCTCGAAGAAAGTTTAGATGCCCTTCACTATCAATTTAAAGGGAGTTATTTATTTGTTTGTTTGTTTATTTCTAATGAATACCTCACATACTATAAGAGGAGTTGAGGCAGTGTGTAATAACAGCCCACGTGCAGCAGGCCAGTGAAAGCCAAAGTCAGAAAGAGATCAGAAACCAGAGTTCAAAATCTTTCTTGGGCCATAGACCCCTTTGAAAATCTGAAAGAAAAAAGAGCTATGGAAAATTTCCCCAGAAAAGTATACCTGTGTAAATAGGCACATTGTTTTGCCAACAACCTTGAAGCTCAGGCAGGCATCCTCCCACTGGGTGTCCTTGAACCCTAGTTCAAGAACCCCTCATATAGAGAAAGTGAAATCCTGAGGTAAGATAGTTATTACACTTGAACATTGCATTTAGCTCTGAGCTTCCTGTCAACTGAGGTTAAAAGATTAAACATGCTGGGTTAGAGTTCTCAACATCTAAAAAAGGAAGCAGATCAGTTCAAAAAATCATAAGTGAAACATATAATTTTAAAATGGCAATGCTTATACATTTATCTGAGATGATTGTTTTTTAAAGGGTAATCAAGAAAAATGAAGGGATATAGCGTAATTTGATGAATTTTTTTTTGAAAATAAGAGATTGGAAATAAAATAGCTATGCTAATTATATTGACCAGCATATGAGATTGGCCACAGCATTTCATTTTTAATCCTTCTGGAAAATAAGGAATTTACTGTACATGTCTTTCTTTAATGGCAGATTTACCTACCTATCTAATATTATTTGATTACAGCTGACAGTAATATAATATATTCCCATGAGCACTCAGCAGCTAAGCAGAAAGGGAGGCCTTAGGGTATAAAGAGAAATTGACCTATGGTTAAATGTATGCTATTAATAGGTCATACCATGGAAAACTAGCATGTATATAACAGCAAATAATTACTGTAGGTGCCTACTGCTTTCAACTAGAGCATTTACTTTCTCAAAGGCAAATAATAGCACAATTGTTATTGTCACAATTATAGGCATAGGCAGTATAGGGTAGGGGTTAAGAACACAATCTGGAATCAGAGACTGGTTTTCCACCACTTATTGGCTGTGTGACCTTGGGCAAAGTCATTTAACTTCTTTTGTTTCAGTGTCTTCATTTGTAAAATAATAAGAAAAGCATTCATCTCAGGACCACTTCTAGGCTGTGTAGAGGTCTCTTGGAAATAAGTGTTTTGTGGGGCTCCTGTCTATATAAACAATTTGAGTCACCTAAAACCAATATGTCAGCGTCATTCTAGTAGTCTAATTTCACAGGCTAATGTGATGGAAATACTGCAAGGCTAGTAGAAGCAAACAACTTGCCTGGACACTCTGCTGGAATTAGGACCTGGCCATGGTGCCACAGGACAACCCTACAGGCACGAGTTCTGAAGCTCCTTGAAGAATCTGGTCTATCCCAAGCAGAAGGTGGCTGCAGAAGATTGGAAGATACCCCAAAGGCACAAGGCTGGAGCAGGGACTGTGCTTACTAAGGTTTAAGCAGGATACAAGTCTATCTCATAGGGTCACTGGGAAGATTGAATGAAGTAATCTATGAGGAGCACTTAGGATATGTTGGTGATGATTACTGCTCACACTATTATTGTCAACAATGCTCACTGTATCTTACGCCTCTTCTGATTTTCTTTCAGTGGATGGCTGCATTGATTGGTCAGTGGATCTCAAGACATACATGGCTTTGGCAGGTGAACCAGTCCGAGTGAAATGTGCCCTTTTCTACAGTTATATTCGTACCAACTATAGCACGGCTCAGAGCACTGGGCTCAGGCTTATGTGGTACAAAAACAAAGGTGATTTGGAAGAGCCCATCATCTTTTCAGAGGTCAGGATGAGTAAAGAGGAAGATTCAATATGGTTTCACTCAGCTGAGGCACAAGACAGTGGATTCTACACTTGTGTTTTAAGGTGAGTGTTGTGTGAAAACATTGTCCAGTTACATGGCTGATAGTCTTTTGAGTGGGACTTGAGTACATATAGGTATGCCTCATGTTGTATAATGGATATGTTCTTGAAAGGTTGCAGTACATGTGGAGCTTCAGTAAATTCCAATTCTAATTATCTGTCAGAACTACATAGCAAATTCCTATTAGATTTTCATAAAGTAGAATTCCCATTTACTGTGTGTGCTTATTTAATTTAGAAAATTTTGTGACTCGGGCCGGGCGCAGTGGCTCACGCCTGTAATCCCAGCACTTTGGGAGTCCGAGGCGGGTGGATCACCTGAGGTCAGGAGTTCGAGACCAGCCTGACCAATATGGTGAAACCCTGTCTCTACTAAAAATACAAAAATTAGCTGAGCATGGTGGCGGGTGCCTGTTGTCCCAGCTACTCGGGAGGCTGAGGCAGGAGAATTGCTTGAACCCGGGAGGCAGAGGTTGCAGTGAGCCGAGATCGTGCCACTATACTCCAGCCTGGGCAACAGAGCGAGATTCTATCTCGAAAAATTAAAAAAAAAAAAGAAAAATTTCTGACTCATTTCTTCCCTCACCCCATCCCTGCCCCAGGGTCTTATATTAACAATTAGTTTTACATACAGCTAGTTGACTCAATTATCTTGATATCTGGTCATGAAAATGATCTAAAATATCATTTTAGCCATGATCTTGCCTTTCTTGTTGATGAAAAATAGTTTCAAATGCTTCTGGGAGATTTCTCAGCAAATGTACTACTGGTGAAATCCTTCATAGATTTTGCAATGCGAGTTTGAGTCCACTGTGTCTAAATAATCAACATGGAGCTCTGTAAATACACAGTCATCCTGAGTTTCTGGGTACTATAATGGGAAGATATCACAGACACAATTCTTGCTTGCAAGAAGTTTACAGTAAAAAGCGTATGCTTTTCCCTTAGGGACTCTACAGTATGTTCTCCCTTCCCCCTCTACCCCAGTGATAGAATCTAGGTTCTAGCATCTAGCATCTCAAATAGAGACTGGATTAGGTATTTAAGTAGGTAGCTGAGACGACCTTTAAGCCACCTTTCAATTCTGCAATTTTGGGAGTCTTTGATCTTGCTCACCAGGGACCTGTACTCTACTATTTGATTTTAACTCCTTGGAAATGCAGACCTTTCCTATTTTTGTGTCCTGTGAACTTTGATGCCAAAGCTATGTCACTTCCTCATCAAAAGCACTTGGAAGCCCCTGGCGAAGCCTCATTGTTCAAAAGGCCGGGAGAACAAGGTGGTATATAAATAGAGAGCCTTCTGGATGCTCTAAGAATCACTTTTGTGTGCAGGGTAAAAAAGTGGAGTGACGGGGGAGCAAATGGTGAGTTTAGTCTGTTTGTGGTGGGCAAAATCTCCAGGATCTTGGAAGAACAGCAATCATTCTGATCACACCCTTAGTGTTAAGCAATATTTTCTCTTACTTGGGCAGCTCTTGGCAAAATTGAGAAGTAGATGTAATTCAGCTTTAGTGACTGACACTATATTCTCTAGAGTGCTGCTGCTCTTTCCTTGCTTATCTCCTCTCTGCTTGTCTCCTCTCCATCCCCCACTGTCATTAAAAACCCACCAATCAAAATTATCTCTTTTCTCCTCCCACTACACCATTTGCTTTTTGTTTGTTGTTTTCACAAATTTAAAGTTTTATTTGCAAAGCATCAGTCAACTATGTACAGGTGCTAAGCTTACAATGAATTATTAAACAAATTGTTGCTACTTCCCCAGGTCTGTTAATGTCTTCAGTCTTGTTACCTCCCCTCTTTTCCCTTCTCTGCTCTAAACCCATTCCCTTACTCCTAGCAATATTAACAACTTAGTATGTATCCCTACATGCATTTCCCCTACTGTTTTAATTATACAAACATACTGACATGGGTATTTTCTCCTCATTGTTTTACAAAATGAAAAGAGGGTTATAGATTTCTCTGCATTTTCTTTGCTTAGTAAAAATACATGGTATAAATTTCTCCAAGTCAATTGATAGAGAGCTTTTTTTTTTTTAACTTTTATTTTAGGTTCAAGGGTATATGTGCAGGTTTGTTATACAGGTAAACTGCATGTCACGGGGATTTGATGTACAGATTATTTTGTCACCCAGGTAGTAAGCATAGTACCTGATAGGTAGTTTTTTAATTCTCTGCCTCCTCCCCCTCTCCACCATCAAGGAGGCCACCGTGTCTGTTGTTTCCTTCTTTGTACCTATGTGTTCTCATTGTTTCACTCCCACTTATAAGTGAGAACATGCAATATTTGGCTTCCTGTTCCTTATTTTACTAAGGATAATGGCCATCCACATTGCTACAGAGGACATTCTTATTTACAGCTGCATAGTATTCCATGGTGTATATATATGTACCACATTTTCTTTATCCTGTCTACCATTGATAGGCATTTAGGTTGATTCCATGTTTTTACTATTGTGAATAGAGCTGCAATGAATATATATGTACATGTGTCTTTATGGTAGACTGATTTATATTCCTTTGGGTATATACCTAATAATGGCATTGCTGGGTTGAAGGGTTAAATATATAATATTGTATGTTGCTTAATATTTTATGAAGCCACAGTTCAGTCATTTCTGTATTGATGAGTATACACTTTGTTTCCAGTATTTTGTCCCTACAAAAGGTGCTGTAATAAAAATCCACTATTTGCTTTTCAATGAACTTCAAGAAGTCTTCGATTTACATAATTATGGCAAAGATAATGTAGAGCTCCTGTACACTTTATATCCAGCTTTCCCATTTTATTAACATCTTACATGACTGTAGTACATTTGTTACAATTAATGAACCAATAGTAGTACATTATTATTAGCTAAAGTCCATATATTCTTCACATTTCTTCAGTTTTTCCTTAATGCCTCTTTTTCTATTTCAGTATCCCATCGCTGGTAGCACATTGTATTTGGTTGTCATGTCTCCTTAAGCTCTTCTTGGCTGCATCAGTTCCTCAGACTTTCCTCATTTTTGATTACCTTGACAGTTTGAGGTGTACTGGTCAGATAATTTGTAGAATAGTCCTCAACTGGGATTTATCTGGATATTTTTCTCATGGTTAGACTGGGGTAATATGTTTTGAGGAGGAAGATTACAAAGGTAAAATACCATCCTCATCACGTTGTATCAAGGGTATAAAGTATCAATATGACTCATAACTGTTGATGTTGACTTTGATCACCTGGCTTGAGGTAGTGTTTATAATTTTTCTCTGTAAACTTATTCTTTCTTTTTCTTCCTTTCCATACTGTAGTCTTTGGAAGAAAGTTATTATTCACAGTCCACACTTAAGAAGAAATATCTACATAAATTATTTCAAATTCTTCTGTATGGAAATTTGTCTCTCCCCTTCCCAACTTATTTATGCGTTCCATCATTTATTTATATCAGTATGGACTCATTAATATTTATATTATACACCGACTTGTAATGCAATTCTACTTAATTTTCTCACTCAAATTCTTCCACCTTTGCCCACAGGAAGCTCTTTCAGTTGGCTCATTTGTCCCTTTGATATAACTCTATCATCATGGAGTGGTGGTTATATTTTTTATTTTTTATTTTTTTGGCATTTCCTTACATTGTAGAAAGATGCTCCAGGTTTATCTTATATATTTCGTGCCCCAGTTCTAGAATTAGCCATTTTTCCAAGGAGTCCTGTTTTTCTAACGAATAATTGCATTAGAAACCTAGATTTGGTTGCTAGGTATGCTCATTGCTACTGGGGTGTTGTTGCTTCTGAGTCCTCTCAGCTGACAGTCTATTTGCTTTTAAACAAAGCCATAGATTGTGAAGGAGTACTTTAGGGATAGTGGAACTTCCCAAGGTCCCTGAAGTCCTTTCCTATAGGTGACCCTCTCTTTAAAGTACATTTCAGATTTGCCATTTTTACGTGTATTTTGGATACCATCTGAGTCAGAGGTTCTCAACTCACATCTAGACCAATAGAAGATAAAAGAATTCCACTAAGATTCAAATATAACGGGTGACTTTTTAACTTTTGTGCAGCAAGCCTTAGGGAGCTATTGGGACTGATAGAGATAGGTGGAACTGTTGAATATAATCTCCCATGTGTGCCTTAGTAAGGAAAAAAATGTTTGGAAATCACTATTCTAATAGAATCAACCAGTCTTTTGTCAACTCAGAGATACATAAATCTATTCCAGGTATATAAGTGAAATAGCATCTGTCTGTAAATAATGAACCTGTTTTTCATATCTAGTAGTGGCCACTGACTTCTACTATGTGCCAGGTGAGAAATTCAGTCCATATAGGTGATTTTATGCAATTTCCAAGAGTGACATTTATAGTGAAAAGGGCTCTTAATTTGACAATGTCAGTATTCACCTAAAATCTCCAGTTTGATACCACTTGAAAGTAATCAAGGATGACTTTTCTATGTTTTATTGATCTCATTAAAAGTTACTCTACTGATGTCATTGTGATTAAAAATGAAGATATGAAATATTATGTAATATTCTCCACCCATTTGAATGACAGCAAGAAAAATTTACTGTTTGTGACCTTTCAGTAGCCAATTGGCTACTGAATAATTTTTAAATTTTTCTTTGGCCAGTCTCAAGAGTGATTAGTTGAATTTCCCAGCATAATAATGGGCTGGTAATATGAGAATGGTAGAGGATTAAGTCATATTTTGAGAGACAATGCCAATCCAAGAATTACACCAGTATTTACAATGGAAGCATGAATTAATAGGATAAAAATGATGAAGGTAATCTTATTTGACAAAATCTCACATATCATTTTCTCAACAACTCGGAACAAGGGGTGACTTAAGCTGTGAATGAAGATAGATATAGTCATATGATCCTGCATTGAATTCACAGATATTGAAAAGAACAATTGGCTGGGTGCGGTGGCTTGTGCCTGTAATCCCAGCACTTTGGGAGGCCGAGGCAGGTGGATCACATGAGGCCAGGAGTTCAAGCCCAGCCTGGC